AGCTTTCTGCTTCTGGGACAATCCCCAGGCCCCTGAGCAAAGGCAAAGCTTGGTCCCAAGACAGTGTCCTCTTAGAACCAGCCAAAGAGCAAAAGAAACCCTGCCTTCCCTGAGATCAAAGCTTTGTACTGCAGGATCACCGTGGCCTAATGCCACGCTGCTATGGCAACATGAATTTCAAGCAGTCACCGGCAGAACCTGCCTCTTCGTTCTCAGCAGCCCTGGAGCCAACCTCTCCAGGTACATTGCCCCAGAGTGAGGGACCACCCAAGGCTCCCGAAGCATTTTCTAGGGTTAAGGTGTCCCACCTGGGCAGCTGACATCCTGAGGATGGATGGAGAGGAGGCATCACATTTGTGTTTACAGAAACAAAATCCATTCCTGGGCAAGACAAAGGAACACCAGCAGCCTCTGGAACAGAACCTCCAACAAGGAGGCTGACAGAGTGTCCCTGTCCTGGGGACAGGGACAGCTTCTGTGTCAGGGGTCAAAGGTAACCACGTAGTCCTCCATCTCAATGACTTCACTGGAAGACAAACCAGGTATTCAAATGACACAACATGCAAGGTGACCAGCATCATGATACACATTCTCTGATGCCAAGTGCCAGTGGCTCACGCCTATAATCATAGCTACTGAGGAGGCTGAGATCTGAGGATCGTGGTTCCAAGCCAGCCCAGGCAGGAAATGCTGTGGGACTCTTCTCTCCAATTAATCACAGAAAAAGCCAAAAGTGGTATTGTAGCTCAAGTGGTAGAGTGCTAGCCTTGAACAAAAGGAGACAGCACCCAAGCCCAGGGTTCAAGGCCCAGGACTAGCAAAAGAAAAAAAAATGTTCTCCAACTTCTGTGAGCTTCTCTCACTGATAACAGTGGTACCCAATAAATGTCCAGAGCCCCACCAAAGCTAGGTCACCATGGTTAGCTCAGGTTCCCAGAAGACAAGCAGGGAGGTCCAAGTCCAGCAGTCTCTCTGGTTGCCCACTTTGTCCTTGTTTCCAGGGATAGGCAAGAAGAACCAGAACCCCAGCATCCTTGGCTTGTGGAGGAAGGTGCTTGGACCCACGTGGATGTTATGCTACAGTAAATGCAAGCACAGACAAGGTATCAGGGACAATTATGGCTAGGATGTTAACAAAATTATTTCCCTCACACCATCCATTGTTGGAAGCAATCTAACTCAGCCTGAGGGACGGGTCTTAAAATAGGCACAATCTTAAACCCAGCAACTCCTCTTGTTAGCTGCGGACCTGGGAAGATACAGAGGAATGTACACGGCTGTCCATAATGACATCATGTCTGTGAAAAACTGGGAGCCACTTAATGTGCGTGGTTGGGATGTGTGAGGCGCAGACTCCCTCTTCTGGTGAAGAATAAGGAGACAGGACAGGCAGGCTCTGGGCCGAGTCAGTAATCAAGAGTTCCTGCTCTCCTCTCCCTCCCTAGCCCATTTGCTGGGTGTCCAGACACTTCTCCATGACTTGGCCAGCCCAGACTCTTTCATAATCCATTACTTCTCCCCCACACTTACCGAGAGATCCTCACTTGCTTGGACTCTGTCTAGTCTGGGCATCGGATCATTCAAGAGTCCCAGATTCTAGTGTTCAAATAAAATAATCAGCAAGCTGGGTGTTGGTGGCTCACGCCTGAAATCCTAGCTACTCAGGAGGCTGAGATCTGAGGATCGCAGTTCAAAGCCTGCCTGAGCAGGAAAATCCTGAGACTCTTATCTCTAATACACCACTCAGAAAACCGAAAGTGCTGCTGCGGCTCAAGTGGTAGAGCGTTAGCCTTGAGTGGAAGAGCTGAGGGACAGCGCCGAGGCCCAGATTCAAGACCCATAATCAAAAAAAAAAAAAAAAAGCATCAGCATTTCTGGGGCTAGAGGATGGGTGGAACTACAAGGTTTCTTTTATAAAATCAATTGTGGGGCTTGACCTCTGAGCCTGGGCGCTGTCTCTCATCTCTTCAGCTCAAGGCAAACTCTCTACCACTTGAGCCACAGCACCACTTCTGGTTTTCTGGTGATTTATTGGAGATAAAGAGTCTCACGGACTTTCCTGCCCAGGCTGGCTTTGAACCAAGATCCTCAGATCTCAGCCTCCTGAGTAACTAGGATTACAGGCGGGAGCCATCAATGCCTGGCTGAGCAACAAGATTTTTAAAAGTAGTATTCCTTTCCTATAAAATAGTAATTATCGAAATGAACTCCAGGAATGAAAGCAAGAGAGTTTTTTTTCTCTCTTTTTGATGCTTTTGTTTTCTTTTCTTTTCATTATGTTTGTTCCTTTATATTGTCTTGAAGTGAGGCACAGAAATAGAGAGGCAAAGGGTGGACAAAAGCAGCCCTGGTACTCGCTGGACACTGTGTTGAAAATGAATTATGCAACTTGCGGGTAGGGACGGGAGGGAAAAACTTGGAGAGATCGAGGGAAGGGCTGACATTGTACAGAAAGAGCTGTTCTCTTTTCCTGACTTCTCTGTATATCACCTTTATAATAACAATAGATATTTCTTGAAAGTAGTGTTCCCTGCCTTTCCTTCCTTCCTTTGACTCTCCTGACCCTGAACTATCCTCCTGTCTTTGAGCTACTATGTAACAGAGAACAACTCTCTATTTGAGTCAAGTCTTTCTGGGATCTATTTATTACTGAACTTTAGCCTAGATTTTCCTCCATTCACCCAGTACATTCTGGATTCTGCTATCACTGATATTGAAGATCTAAGCGGCATGAGTTCTCTTTTAGACTCCAGGGTGTAGAAGCGGAGTCCTGCAAACACTAGCATTCAAATCAAGAGATTATTCCCCTTATTTCTGACCCCACTGGTGGGTAGTTGACCAAGGTTATGGATTGCCCTCAACTTTAATCTCATTTTAGACCAGCCCTGCAAATAAAGGCACGGAACTAACTAACGAACACTTTCCAGGGAAGACTCAGACTATCCCACTTTCTTCCTGGGAGAAAAGTTAACTCAGACCCATGGACTAAGTCTATCGGAAGCCACGAGAGCAATGCTCTTGAGTACTGAGCCTCGGTAGTTGCTGGGTAGACTTCGTCAAGTCCAGGTTTTGACCAACCATCTGCCCATCATTCATTTTTAGAAGTGGGCAAAGAGGTGATTCACCAGCCTCAGTATTTGTACCTAACTGAGATAATCTGTCAGAAGGCAAAGGAGGAGACAGGCTTGTGTCTGCTGATTGAGTTCTGCTGTAGTTGAGAGGTAGGAGAGGGAATGTCATAACTGGTTTAGCAAACTTCTTTTCCTTTATAGACTTTTTGTTCAACTTGCTTCCCCAACCCCCCCCCCCACCCTCTTTATTTGGAAGTATGGATTTTGAACCCAGGCCCTTGAATTTGCCAGATAAAGTTTCTACCACTGTGCCACACAACTAACCTTTTCCAATTTAGTTTATTTTTTTTCAGATACGTTCCCAAGATAACTTCACTCAGGATAGTCTCAATCCTATCTCCTAGAATAAGGACCTTGCAAGAGGATGGACTTCTCCAATAGTTGGAATTATAAACCTGCCTCACCATGCCCTGTTGTGAGAACAGAACTTAACAACTGTTTTATTCAACAGATAACAATTAATTTCAACCCACTGGTCAAATCCAATCACAAGTTCAGGAGGAACCTGTGGAACAATGCCAGGACTAGGGAAAAACCCTAAGACATGGATATAATGTGTAATCTCTAATCCAGGTTTTATTTTGTGTGAGTGCATACACACACATGCATGCCAGTATTAGGGCTTGAACTTAGGACTGCATGCCCTCAGCTAGCTTTTTCATTCAAGGCTTTCACCCTATTATTTGAGCCACACCTCTATTTCTGGCTTTTTGTTGGTTAATTGGCAACAAGAGTCTCATGGAATTTTCTGCCTGAGCTGGTTTTGAAGTGCGATCCTCAGAGCTCAGCCTCCTGAGTAGCTAGGTGTGAGCCCCCTGTAACCCAAGCTTGTCCAGGGTTTCTTAAGAGTGGCTCTCCATCTATTCTCTTTGGGTCATCTTTTGTTGTGAGGGTGCTGTGCTTTGTGGGAAGTTGAGAAGCCCTCCCTGGCCTTTACCTTCTACATGCCAGCAGCAGCCTTGACTCCCTACCACAACCCTGACCTTCAAAACTCTCTCCAGACACTGCCTTGTATGCCCTAGGGACAGAGGTAAATCAACCTGGTTGAGAACCATGAGATCAATCCAGGGGGCAAAAAGTCATTATCACAGCTACCTCCCCAGGCTAGCACTGGGCATCCAGTATGCACTCAATGAATAAGCACTCTCTGGATGAGTAGCTTGGAGAAAGGTAGGAAGAGTACCCAAGACCCACCCCCCATAACTTCCTACTGGCCTGGTGCAGTAGAAGAGAAAATGGGCTCCTGGATCCTCCTATAAGGAGAGGATGGACGAATGACCCAGTGTTGCAACACAGAGCCTGTATCCGACAGGCCAGGCTTTCCTCTGGGGGAGTAGGAAGGGGTCCTCAGACCATGATCCTGCAACTGACCGGGCAACAGTGCAGAGCCCATTCCCGGGACCTGAAAGACTCCTTTGGCAATGACTTTGACTCAAGGATGCCATCCTGGTGGCCTGGCCCAGATTCTGGAAACTGTGCTGCCTCTCAGACTCCCTCCACCCTCTCCTCCTTCTCTGGAGGGCTAAGTCCCTCCTTCCTTTCTTCAGCTTCCATCCTTTACCCCTCATAGATGTTGTCCCCAACACAATCCGTTTTGATGCCTACTTTTATAGAACCTTGCATTGTAGGGGTGTGCTTTTCCACTTCTGGTGGCCTGACACCTCCCACGCCCTAAAGCTTAGTTGATGAAAGCATTATGGCTGGACCATTGTAGACAGGGAAGGGGTGGGGGAGACTCTTGGAAGGTACTCAATGTCCCCTTGTCCACAAAACAGAAGAAAACACGAGTTTATTTCGTAAGCTATTATTGCTCATGAACAGCTAATACAATTGGGCACATGCTCACGTTCCAGTCCAAGAAATGCTTCCCAGTTATCCTTTTATTGGTATTAAGGCAGCAAGGGACATCTTCAGGCCCGCATGCCTTTTTTTTTGCCACGCAAGGGGACATCATGACTCGGGAAGTAGGGGAGCCAGCCAGCCAGAGGACTGTTCCCCAGTCTCTCCAGCCCTCCATTTTCATTCTAATGCACTTTGGTTTGAGAACAGGTGTGCAGCACGGCCCAGTCTGGCAGTATCTATCTGCCAGGAAGATGCTCCTGGTCCAAGGCCTCAGCTCAGCCAGCCTTGCCCTCCGCCAGGCTCTCCCAGGGACAGATGACCTCATTTTCTGTAGCCCGGTCACCAGACTCCCCTGTCCCAGCGTCGTCCGAGTCCACTAGGCAGTGTCCACTGTCTGTAGGCACATCCATTTTGATCTGGAAAAAGCTTCAGGCACAAAAGAGCACACATGACAAAGGGGTAGGAGGCCAGCTGATCCCCAACAGCCCCAAGTAGACTAACACACCAACACAGGGGGCATTTACCCAAAGGGGCTTGTGCCACCCTTGCCTCAGGAGATCCTTGTTATTAGGGATTAGGATTCCAAACATGCTTCATTTTACTTGGGGGCAAGGGCTTAGATCTTCCGGGTTCTGATGAATTCAGAAAGTCCCTGTAGGACATAGCAGCCCTTTTTATCCCTGAGAAACTGTTAAAAAGCCCCACACCCACATAGCAAGGCTGAGCTAGAACATTCCATCATCACCCTTCCTGATGAAGAATCAACAAGTATGCACTGGATTCTACTCCCCTTCCTAAGGGGGACCCCCCTTCCCTCCTGCTCCTCCAAGCAACGCGGGTAGGAGGGGCACGGGCCTGGGGTACTCACAGCCCCTCATGCATACGACACACAGTGCAGCCAATGCTCCTTGGGTACCCATGACAACTTAAGGCCCCTGCTTGTCCCTTCCTTCTCCAAGCTCAAGCAGGGCCAAATGTAGGAACTAGTTCATTCGTTTGGGGGGCGGGGGTAACCCTGACTGCCTCCTCTCAAACCCAATAAGGATGGGCTGATTCATAGTTTGTGCTGTCTACCACTTGGTTTTCTGCCATGGGCTTTATCAAGCAATCTTCTGAGCTCCTCTCTGTACTTGGCAGAGGAGGATTCATGCTCAGGAAGAGATCGGGCATCCGCATTTTTGATATCACTGCCAACACGAAGATCTAGGAGGGGTGCATGTGGAAATGTGCAGGTGCCCCTGAGGATGGGGGTTGAGGGAATGCAAGCCCCCTAAGGTAGGGGAAGCATACCCTAGGATCACATCACCTGGGCATCCCACTGTGGCCATAGATCTTCTACCCTTTACAAATCAGTGTCTTTATTAAACTCATATTCTCGCGGTTAAGGGGGACATAAGGAAAAGGTGGACAGGAAAAGATGTCAAAGCAAAAAAAACCCCATATAGGTGGGTGCAGTGGCCCACACGTTTAATCCTTGCTCCTTGGGAGGCAGAGACCGGGAGGATTCCCCATTCAAGGCCATCCTGGATAGTTATGACACCCCTCCCCAAATCTGAACAAATAAAAAGCAACTACTTGAGATTTGTAAATAGGAGGATTGCCAAGGCAACATAAAAGCCAAGATCTTGTTGGGAAAAGTAACCAAAGCCAAAAGGGCTGGCGGTGTTGGCCTAAGTGGGAGAATACAGACCTGGTTCTGATAAAATGATTAGTTAACTAATTAGCTAATTAATTTTATTTTGCCAATCCTGGGGCTTGAACTCAGGGCCTGAGCTCTGTCCCTGAGCTTCTCGGTGCTCAAGGCTAGCACCTGAGTCACAGTACCACTTCTGGCTTCTTCTGTATATGGGGTACTGAGGAATCGAACCCAGGGCTTCATGCATGCTAGGTAAGTACCCTACCACTAAACCACATTCCCAGCCCTAGCTAATTGGTTTTTAAGAAGACCTCTGGGCCTCCTCCTTGTCAGGAAGAGGGAGGGAAGCATTCCAGCCCCACCACCTCCCGGCCGCAGGTGTGTCACAGGGCCTTTGTCCACACCCGCAGCTCCCCGGTCATCACAAGCGCAGTGCAAGCCCCTTCTTCTTACTTTGCTACCTTCTTGGGTTTCAGCCTGGGCAGCTGCTGGCCCACGTCCCCCAGGGGCTGCACCTTCCCGTGGGACACAGCTGGGCACTTGGGTGAGAGCCTGGCAAAGACCGGAGAAGCCAAGCAACCTCGCCTCAGAAACCTGCTGAGGGACAGGGCCGGCCGGGCTTTGGCAGGGGCCCTGGGCTGGCTGAGTGACGCGGGGCCATCGATGGAGGTCTCGCTGCTATCGCCCTGGGCACCAGACCAGCTGGCCTCCCCCTTCGGCTCTAAGCCTGAAGAGCCCTCCAAGGCGACTCGAATGGGTGAGGGGCAGATGGCAGTGCTGGGCCGCCTGATGAAGCGGCTGGGCGAGGGGAAAGGCCTCCGGGGAGAGCGGCAGGACGGGGAGAAGGGGCCCGAAGGAGAGGGAGGCACGCAGGTCCCCGTGTACACGGCCAGGTGGGGGCTGGGAGCCATGTGCTGGCCTGGCTGTAGGGAAGGAAAGGAGAAAGCTCAGCAGTGAGTTCTGGGGGGCCCCCTCAAACCACCCTCAGTTAACTCAACCCCCTCTCCCACTTCTGATGACTTGGGGTGCAGGCCTGGTCTGTCTGCCCCCTGTGACAGCAGCACAGAGGCCTGCTGTTAGGGACCTGTCTGTACCCAAGAGCCCCAGAACGGGACAGTTCTGTCCCAGAGCACAAACCAGCCTTCTTCCCATTCCCAGATGCTGGAGGGAAGCCAGACTGAATTCTCCATCACCCCTCAGGACCATGACCCAGGGGAGCGAGCCCCAGCACCCCCAGGGCCATGTCTTCTGCACCAGTGGCCCCAGCCTCAGGCCTGGAAGCATCTCACTGAGCAGGAGAAATAGCAAGACCCCCACCACTTCAGCAGGGCCTGACCCCTGGTCATTGAGTGGAGAAAGGGGACGTATCTCGAGTCCCCGATGTAGGACAGGGATCTCCACCGCCACCTTCTCTCCACCCCTAAGAACTGTCCTGCAGATGGAAAGGCAGCGGCCTCAGCCCTGGGCAGGGGGCTGTTGGCTTCTGTGGCATGAGGTCCTGGTCTCCCAGTCACCCAGGTAAGATGACCTAACCTAAAGGAAATAGGGCAGGTGCATGGAAGGGCAGCTTTTCAAAGGCTGGGGGGAGGGGCAGATGACTGAAATGGCTGGATAAGATTGGAAATGGGGGTGAAAAGGAGTCTTCATTGTCTCCCACTGGTTCTCTGACATTCAAACAAGATCCTATTCTGAAATAGCAGCTTGAGCTATTGCTCCGTGTAACAGTTTAGGAACCAGACCCCAGGATCAGGACCTACCTGGGCTGGTGAATTATCACATTACTAACAAGTATTGTTATTGTTAAGATACAGTGAGAACTTAGCAACCAGAAGTCCCCGGCCTGAACAATTTACTCAATATCAGGGATGCTTGCATCTGCCTCCCTCCCCACCCCCAGAGCCACTCGGTGAGGCAAATCACTACCATTATCTCCATTTTTAACAGAGGTGGAAAATTCATGCTCAAGATGCCAAGGAATGGTGGAAATGGTAAGAGAGAGAGAGAGACTTAAAACTCCCAGGTCTGCATGGCTGAATGGATCAGCATATCCGGTCAAGAAGCTACTTCCAGTCCTCCAAAACACTCATTCTATAAGGACTCACATCTTACCAAGAGCCTGAACAAGCCTGGAAGAGGACCCTCCCAAGAGCTTCCAGGTTAGAGTGCAGCTACCCCGGCTGACCCCTGGCTGGTGAGCCCTGTTCAGGACCTGGTACCAATGTGTGGCCTGAAGATTCTTTCCACATCCACATGCCCAAGCTGATGATCTGAGGAGAGAGGCCTTTGGGAGGTGAGTAGGAATGGGACCCTTACATAAAAGACCCCAGAGAGCACAGTGAGAGTGCAGTGAGATGCTGCTATCATTCTCTGGATCTGTTGGTGCCTTCACCATGGACTTCTCAGTCCTCAGAACCATGGGAATTTTCTGTTAATGGGCCACCACCAAGGTAATGCCTTTATCGTAGTGGTCTCAATGGGCTAAGGCACCTCTGCGGTGGTCTCACCATGGGCAATCATGCACTAACAAGCATTTGTTCTTTGGGACTGTTGCTTACCCATCCATCAAAGACTTAATCAGTGACTACGTGAGATTGGAAGCCCAGAGCGGTGTAACAAAAAGTCCCTGCTGTTTTTGCTGAGCCATGTTGACCCCTATTGCCCATGGGAGGTTGGGATCCTAGCAGTGGAAGGAATAGACATAACTCACAAGAGAAGCTAGGCTTTGTCAAGATTGGGGGAAAGAAAGAGGTATCAGAGTGGTGCCTCCTGACTCTAACTGAAAACCCATTCCTTCAGCATCAATGGTAAACTCTTCTTCCATAATTCTACTCTACAGATACGACAACAAGTCTCATGGAGCTGATACAACCTGACCGGGATTGTATAGCTTATGACTAGAATTTTTTCCTCCCTACCTTCCCCCAACCCTGTGTATCTTCCATCCTCTTCTCTCCCTCCCTCTTTTCCCCATCCCATTCTTCCTCCAACACCTTCTCTTTTCCAAGGATGAATAACAGAATGGATAGGAAAAGTGACCGCTACCTTCCTTCACTTACCTTGCCTGAGATGGTTCTTTCTTCTGGGCAGATGGCCATTGGCTGGGTTGGCTGAGGACACTCTAAGCGGGCTTTATCCACCTCCTCCCACCAGTGACCCATGGATCCCCTCCAGCCTGGAGCTGGAGCTTGGAGACCTAGCCCCTCCCACCCATGCCCCAGCGACCACTGATGTCAGAAAGCAAAGCGGTGGCATGCAAGACACGTGGCAAAGAAATGTGACAGGACACAGACAAAGAGGAGGACAGTTTGACTTCGTTTTCTTGTGCACTGCATTTTATTGCGCGAGGTTAACCAAGAGAAGGAAGCATGAAATGGAGCAGGTACATTAATGTGAGAACGCAATCACAGGCTTTTTAATGGAAGGCAAAGCACATGATGTAGGAGGGTGCAACTCATGTTTCTGTCCCCAGAAAACTGGCTGAGAATTTAAAGAAAACCCATGGCCATTTGAACAGCCTTCCTGAGAACCAGAGGGATGTGTTCCAATTTAACGTTCAGATATGCAGTCTTGCCTGCTATACCTTTTCCATTCTCCCCTTCCTCACTTCTCCAGAAGCAAATAAGAAAACTTGATTACATGAGGAAACAGCTCTTTGGGAGGCCATGTCATTTCATCTCCCAGTCATTCCATTGGTCACAGTCTAGCACAAAATCTTTCACCCTTGCATTGGCTGAGCAGTAACTACACTGTTGTTAGTTACTCCTCTCCCAGAAGATGCTGCTTCTGGGGGGCAGACTCTTTCTCCTGCCCACACCTGGACTCTATCCTAATGTTCCCTGGAGATAGATGCAGGACAAGATTTTGAGAGACCAGAGAGGGTGGTGCAGGATAAGAGTGGTTTGCCTACTCTCAGGAAACGCCCTTTATTGGACAATACCAACAGACCGAAGAAGACACAAGTCTGCTTAAAGAGCATGGGAGTGTAGGGAGCGAGGGTAATGAAGACAGTAACAGTGCTGATGGTAGTGAGACACGGGATGATGGTAGTGAGGATGGTGATGGTGGTGATGGTGGTGAAGATGATAGTAAGGACAGGAATGATGGTGATATGAAGGTGATAATAGTAGTAAGGATGATGATGATGATGATGGTGATGATAACAGCAGTTAGTGTTTATTGAGCATTTATATGTCATGCATGGGTCTAAGGTCTCAGGTTCTTGTCTCTGACCCTTCTATTTGCACTGAATACTCCTCATAAAACAGTCTGTTCTCTAACAGTCAAGCTGGGAAAGTGGAATTCCACAGCGAAACCCGGGTGCCTACGCTAGCATAAAATGTACCCGCATCAAAAGGTTTGTCATGGGGTTCAACTATTGGCACTAAGGAATGAGGATGGTGTGTGAGCGCAAGAGACTATCATAAAGATTTAAACACGTCACTCACATTGTCCAAATAAACACGATCTTTGATGCCATCTGACATCCAAGTGGGCCCTGTGAGGCTGGTGTTACCCTTGAGCCCTGGTAGGAGCAACTGCTACCTGCTAGAACTGACAGCAACCATGAACACTTGCAGGACCTCGGAACTCAGACCCGTGGCCCCTTTTCTATAACACAGGAGAATTTCCTACTGGGCCCAAGGATTGTAGAAGAGAGCACTGCAAACTCCTGAGGTGGAGAGGACATAGGTAAAGACTGGAAAAGAGCTAATGTCTAGAGCTGAGGTACAGTGAGGTTATACAAGTGTATAAAATCGAACATCTCCAGTTACTGGATAGAGCTTTCCAGATAGGCTAGATTAGTCACTCGATCTGTTCCTGCAATCCAGCTAACTGCCCCAAAAGCAACTCTGCTCTCTCCAAGTCTTCACTCCCTCCCCAGGCTAGTGGTTCCTGGGATGTGATTGGAGGATCACAGTTCAAAGCCAGCCTAGGAAGGAAAGTCCACAAAAACTCCATCTCTAAAATCAAAGTAAGGCTAGGGGCATGGCTCTGTTGGTAGAGCACTGACTGAGCAAGCAAGCTGCGGGAGTATGAAGCCCTGAGTTCAAACCCCAATACCATAAAAAATGTCAGAAAAGAATGCATGATATATTCAACACATCTACTACCCTGCCCGCCATGTTGCTAGGGGCGGGCTCTAGGCTCATGCAGAGTAACTTGAAGGGGCAGCAAGTATCCTCTCATTTCCTGCTTCTCAAACTTTCCCACGAAAGTAGGCCAAACGGCAGGAGAGCTCTGCAACCAGCTCCCGCAGGAGTCTGAGGGCAGAGCCTGAACCTGCCACAGCCAAGCGCGAAACGTCTTTGATGTCTCATATTCCAACCGTAAAAAATTCATGCACATTTTGCATTCTATTTCATAACATATTAATGATTGTTTTAATGTAAATTTTTTTTTAAAAAACCACCTAAACTTTTTCTCTTATTCTAAATATTCAAGTCGAATTGGTATCCCAGGCCTGGTTACCCGCCCCCCTCCCCTTGACATTCATAAAGTCTGCTTTGAGAATAAATCTTGACCCAACTTCTCTTTTCATGAATGACTAAGAAACCAAGAGGTTCTGGGACTTGCTCAAGACCTCATGTCTAGGGCTGGGATCAGAACAGGGTCCAAGAGACTTATCAAAACCCAGGGCTCGGGCTGGGAAGGTGGCTCAGTGGTAGAGTGCTTGTCTTGCATGCCTGAAGCCCTGGGTTCGATTCCTCAGCACCACATAAGAAGAAAAAGCCAGAAGTGGTGCTGTGGCTCAAGTGGTAGAATACTAGCCTTGAGCTAAGGAACAGTGCTCAGGCCCAGAGTTCAGGCCCCACAACTGACCCCCCAAAAAAAAGCCAGGGCTCTTGCTATTCCATTCATTCATTCATTCATTCATTCATTCATTCATCTGAATACATGTTGTGTAGAATGTGCTAGGTCTTAAGCATTAGCTTCCAAGTGGTAAATAGGTAGCTATGGTCGCTTCCCTCTTGGCACTCAGCTGATAGTGGTTTCACTATCAACCTGCAGGCACCCTCCAGAGCTGGAAAATTCCAACCATGTTCAAAAGAGAGATAAATGAAGTCTATGCCTTGCTGTGCTAGTCTTTGACCCATGAAGGGAGGCAGACACCCCCTCCTCAGGTTGGAATTATCTTGTTAATATAAAACCAGTGCCCATGGATTCTTCACTCTGGCCTAGAGGGTCTTGGATGACCTCGGTCTGCCTACTTCTCCTGCTTCATCTTGTTCCATTTCTTCTTCATCATCCAGGCTCCATGGCTCTCTGGCCTTGCACTGTACTCTGAGCTATTTGCCTCCTCTGGGCCTTTGTACACATTGTCCTCTCTCCCTGGGACAGGCTCCCTGCTCCGTCCCCATTCTGCAGCCAACGCTCGCTCCTCCTCTGCTTCTCTGCCACTGCTTCCAAGAGAACCAGTCCATACAACTCATCTTCCCAAGCACAGCACCCTCCCTTTAGGACACATTCAGCAGGTTTTCCATCTACATTGTGTTGAGGTCATTGATTGCAGTGGTAACCTCAGTTCTCTACCCTGTCCTGCATCTGTGTCTTTTGCTAGAAAGCTTTGACCTCTTGTCACTAGAAGAGGTCATCTTGAATCCAGCTGCCTCCGTGGCTTGCTTTGGCCAATGAAATGACGCAGAAGAAACCATGTGAAGCCCTGTGTTCTTTCTACTGACTCCCTTGTAATTCTGCCGTCATCATTGGCTCCCTGCCTGGGTCAAGTTGTTAGAAGAAGACAGATTGGTGAAGCAGAGCAGACTCATCCATCCACCCCAGCCTAGGCTTCTGTAGACATGTGAGCAAACCCAGCCAGGAACCACAAAGCCACAGAGATGATCCCGTATATACGGACAAAAAACATCTGTGGAATGGCATTCTCATTTGTGGTTGAATGTTACCCAACAAGTTACCTTTGACAGTCCTAGACTGTCACGTTCCGTGAGAGAAGAACTGTGTCTTGCTTGTTCATCAACTCCTTGCACACAGGAAGGGCTCAAAACATAGCTGGGTAAATGAATGTGTTCCTGCTCACCTCCTTGCTCTCTCTTTTGCATGCAGGTATATGAGGTAAGCCTCACTTCAAGAGTAACCTTATAGGCCTCACAAGGTCAAGGTTGGAGCTGTCTTTTCCCTCTACCCCTGACCACAGAGCTGGCCTAGCCTATAGCCGCAGAGAGGGAAACATCAAGAGCTAGAGAGCATCCTCCAAAAAAGAAAAAAGTGCATTCTATTAGCTCACAAGTCATCATGAAAATGCCATGGATAGCTACCAGCCTTCTTCCCCGGGAATGAAGACATGAGTGCCTAGATTCTTCTCTGGCCCGAGTCTTGCATTCCTCACAAGCTGCTTCATTACCCAGGAATTACAAGATGGAGAGACAGAAGGAAAAGATGCTGTTATCCCCTCAGGTAGCTGTGGCTAACACATAAGCTCAGCAGGAGGCCCGGCTTAACGGGGCCCTTTCAGTTAATATAGGAGCTAGAAAAGTATTTCCACGGGGGGGAACCTAGAATCTGCTCCTTGGAAGGACTCCAGATGGCTTGAGAAGCAGAGTCTAAGCTGGAGAGATAGGATGAGGAGCTTCCTGAAGCTACTTTAGGCAAATGTCCTTAGAAGAACTAGGCTTGGTGTGTCTGTATCTCTACAAGGCAGGCTACTCTCCCTATGGTTTGTGCTACATGAACTCCCAAAGGTTATGACAGGTGGGTGTCATAAGTCAGGTGACTCCCCTCCCCCCAGCCATCATCAGTGTTACCCCCTGGGGAGCTGGGGGGTGGTGGGGAACAAACAAGTCACTTTTAGCATTGTAAAATTCACCATGAAGCACATTAAAGGAATCTGGGGGAAAACTCATTGACCCTACTGCTCTAATCATGGGGAATGGAATCTTCTAGACTTTGATCCTACTTTCCTTTGTTTGCCTCTTCCAAGTACACTCCTCCCCTGGCCCTCTCCACCCCTCAGCCCCGCCATCCACCCCGGGAATCACAGCTTCATTTAGGAGGGAGCTCCTTCTTGAGTTGGCTCCTCCGGTCCAGCTTGCTCATGACCTGGGTGATGTCCACGGTGTTGGCTGCTTCTCGAGCCTTCGCTTCCTCTTCCAGCTGTCTCAGGATGACAGGGCTCGGGCTGGAACGTAGGTGGCGGCGCATGAACGGGAGGCCGGCACTGCGAGGAAGCACACAGATGGTTGACTGGCTGTCAGTACTCCCGGAGGGGGCTGGGGCTGGGAAGGCGGGAACCTGGAGTGGTTAGCCCCACATCCCTGGGCACGTCAAGGGGAGTTCCCAGAGCCAGCTTCAACGTTGGCTCTTCTCTTTCTCCCCTGGAGAATGAGCCAGCTGCTTCCGGTTGGTAAATTAAGATGCCAGGAGAGCTTTCTGGATGGTCAACTACAACAGACACCTTTCTCCAGTGTTTAGACATCAAATTATTATCTTAGCACCCTGTAAGATCTTCATGAAAGCCAGCAGCACAGTAGACTTAGGAACTTAAAAACCCCAAGATTTTCTGCCTCAGGAAAGAATTGGAGCATCTCAGCCACAGGTCTGAAAGGGAAGGAAGGAACTGGCCGGGAGGAGTGGGTGTCCTCAGCAGAGGGAGTGAGGAGGATTTGCAGAGGGGTGGCAAGATGGCGGTACCCTGCTCCTAACACCAGATCTTAGGATTACCGCCCTCCCCCCCCCAAAAAAAAATATCTCCTTTAGAAGCCAAATCTGGATTCTTGGAACCAAAAATCTCAATGACATCTTAGGAACCAGCACCACACCCTACATGCCTGAGAGATAAAAGAGAAGAGCATCAGAGAGACCTGCCCTGGACAGATTCCCACAGCCACACCGGCTGAGAATTAAGTATTTCAATGGAGATAATAGATGGATGATTTAGGACCCCAACTTTCTGGATCAAATAAGGCCACAGAATTCTTGTATCTGTACTAGGGAGGCAGAAGGCTGCCCTACCCGCAAACTGCCTCTAATATTGACTGTCTCACCAGACTGGCAAAGGGGAAAGCTTAGGGTTTAGGGTTAACTTGTCCTGGGCGGGTTAACTTTGAAGAGACTACCTACAGCTGTCAATCATGAAACAAATTCCCGCCCACTAGAAATCCCTTCCTGGATACAGGCTGAGCTTCACGCTGAACAAAAGCATTTGCACGTGGTTCTCACTCACACTCATGATTCACACTCACCACAAGGCCAGACTACAACATCCCGCACCAGGGGTGTCTGGCACCCTGGGCCCCAGAAGCCCTTCCTGTGTGGCCCTCAAGGTCTCCAGCTGATCTCACATCTCTGCCTTAACTTAGAAAGTATCTGGAGAGGAAAGTACAAGCCAGCCTCTCTCTTAGGCCTGGCTCATTTCTCGCTGAACTTCTGGCGTTCTTTTGGCCCTTTCTTGTGGCTTCAAGACGAAGCGCTCAAGTCCCCAGGGACACTGGACTCCTTTTCTTCCTTCGTCAACCTAGAACTGTACCACAAAGGCCTTCTTTCTCTCCCAGTCATAACAGAGTCATTGTCCACCAAACGGAGACCGAGTTGGGGGTTTGTTTCTTAAGAAAGCCTTTATTAAAGGCTGCAGTCCAACTGCCCTCCTTTTGAATTGACTGGAGAAGCTGGAAAAAAGCCCAGCGTGAGCTGGACAGACAAATAGGAGCGTTTAGAGCAGGACACACGGCTGGCAGGGTTTGAGGGAAACCTTTTCCAGGGTCCCATGACTTTGTTCAAGCTGTCCTTTGCTTACTCGTTTGAACCTTCAATCCAACACACACACACACACACAGAAGGCCAATCTGTCCCTCAGACATTAATGTTGCCTACTGTCCCAGTGGCAAGATGAGATGCAATGACCCACATTTCCAACAGGGAAAGTGAGAATGAACCAGTCAATGTATTTCTGAACAGGAGGCAGCCAGAACATACCAGGAGTTCACATTTATCCCCTCCACTCCACCCCCACCCCCACCAAACAGGTATTTTCTCTTGGGGTGCAATTTTCTATTGTCTCTAAAGTCTTAGAACAATTCGGATACAAAGATGTAGCTAAATTAATACCCATTCATCAATTTGGAAGGCGTGGCAATAAAAAAAAAACAACCAATGAGATCTTTCTGTCTGGATTGAGTAATTCTTGGTTTGATCATTGGGATTCTTTCAAACCAGCATTAGAGACACAAAAACATGCTAAAGATAATTACTAATGAAATCTTGCTTGTGATTTCACAGCCTTGGAAGCAAATGAAACATTTATTCCCAGAGTGATACTTTCAGTTCCCAGTATTTTCCATCTAGCAAGTATCTCAATAACAGACATTAGGCTGAAAGAGACTGCCATGTCGCTATAAACCGAGCAGTGGGACGCTAGTGCTTTAAGCCAAGGGGGACTTGCCTTCTCTTGGTGGTTTCCTGAGGTTCGATAGCCTTGGCCAGCATTTCTTTATAGATTGGAGATTTTAAGTAGCGGGCATACGAATCCTGACAAGAATAAGAGAAAAACAGTGTTTGTGAGCGCAGCTGTCAGATGTGGCCCCTAGACCAGCAGCACCAACTGCACCCCATCATCCAACACCCCCACAATAACATCCTGCAGTTACCTTCCATGCAGCAAACCCAAGAAGTGACAAGGACCCATTGACCTCTCCCACTCAATCCCTCCTTCAAGTGTGGCTACAGGTAGGGCACCTACTTCTCAGCCCCCTTCATGCCCTTTTCTGCCCTGTGTTTTCTGGGGCATAAAGGCAAGATATCCAAGAAAATAGAAGACCATGACTTAGAACCCCCGCTAGTTTCAGAGAAGTGGTTCCATGATGGATTCCTACTTCCAAGCTAGCTAAATACTCTAATCATAACATATACAGGACAAAGCCTGGGGGCTGAGAGTAGCCTTCAAGGTCTCTTGAATTGCTCTGATTCTAAGGGCTAAGTGGTAGCAGTAATGGTTACAGGAACCAGGATGGAGTCTAGAAGAAAGGCTAATAGAGCCATTGGGTCCTGTTGTGCCTGTCGCCATAGAAACAAGGCTGAAGAGAAGTAGAATCTAAGGGAGTCCATGCTTGTAAATTACCCGTGACCCTGTTCCATTCTGCCTACTAGCTCGTCTTCCTGGATGTCTCCTGAATGTGCTGTACTAAAACTACATTTTTAAGAAACACAACATTTTCAAATACATGAAGGAAGACTATTATTAAAGAAACCCTGTTGTGGGTCTTTAAAACACCACACACACACACACACACACACACACACAGAAACACCACTAATGGGAAAACATGAGAGACGGTTAATGTTCTTGCTGAAAGTGCTAAGTGATTACCCACTAACCGTTTTGCCTTACAAGACAACAAGAGAATAACAGGGGGGAAATGACATAAAGAAGGGAAGCTAATAAACATCCACCATCCCCACCAACCCATATCACACAACAAAGCTATTAGAGGGTACCTTGCCATAAAGGGACTAATTCCCATAATAAGAAGTGGGAGCAGCAGAAGAAAACCTTGTCTTAGAATTTCCTAAGAAAGAGTAGATGTGGGGAGCTCATGCCTGTAAGGGACAGCACCCAGGTCCCAAGTTCAAGCCTCAGTACCAGCACCAAAAAAAGGAATTGATTTTTCTATCAGGTCCTCTTTCGTTTACATGTATTAATTTATATATGTATTCGTGTATTGACTCACTATTTGTCATGGTACTGGTATTGAACTCAGTACCTTATGCCTGAGGAGCAAGGCCTCCCTGTGGGTTCTCTTTGAGAACGGAAGTCTATGCTTTACAAAGCAAATGCACCTTGTAGGCTGTTCATACCATCACACTCATGTCATGGACATCACCCAGTGTCCACAGGTGCAAACAGCCTCCACGGGTATCTGTTGTGGCCAGTAGACTCCAGCCCGGCGAACAGGTGGGAAAGCTAAGGGTTCGGGTCTGCATCCTGCCACCAGCAAAGTGGTGTCATCTCCCTGTTCCCCCCAGGCTCCCAGGCCTCCTGCGCCCAGCTCCCCTACCTTCTTCATGAGCATGTAAATGTGGGTCTGCGCAGCGTCCAGCACGTAGCGGTGGGGGTGCCTCAGCCCCTTCACGGTGATGTCCATCGTCTTCCCATCAATGTTGATCCACCGCCTGGCCCCTGGGGCCAGGAACAGCCTGGGAGGGAGGGAGGGAGGGAGGGAGGGAGGGAGGGAGGGAGGGAGGGAGGGAGGGAGAGAGGTAGCAGGGGAGGGAGGAATGGAAAGGGAAGAAAATATTGGGAAAAGTAGCTAGTCCAGTGCTCAGGCCCAAAGGGCAGGGGACTGATCTTGTCCATTCTGGCTTTGTTAGAAAACTCTAAAAAGATGTGGCGCAGTGGAAGAGCACTTGCCTCGTGTGCATAAAGCCCTGAGTTCGATTCCTCAGTAAGCAGAAAAAGCCAGAAGTGGCTCTGTGGCTCAAGTGGTAGGGCGCTAGCCTTGAGAAAAGAAGCTCAGGGACAGTGCCCAGCCCCTGAGTTCAAGCCCCAGGATAGAAAGAAAGAAAGAGAGAGAGAGAGAGAGAGAGAGAGAGAGAGAGAGAGAGAGAGAGAAAGAGAGAGAGAAAGAGAGAGAGAAAGAGAGAGAGAAAGAGAGAGAGAAAGAGAGAGAGAGAGAAAGAGAGAGAGAGAAAGAGAGAGAGAAAGAGAGAGAGAAAGAAAGAGAGAAAGAAAGAGAGAGAAGGAAAGAGAGAAAGAAAGAGAGAAGTAAAGAAAGAGAAAGAAAGAGAGAGAAAAAGAGAGAGAGAGAAGGAAAGAGAGAAAGGAAGAAAGAAAGAGAGAAGGAAAGAAAGAGAGAAAGAAAGAAAGAAAGAGAGAGAGAGAGAAAGAGAAGGAAGGAAGAAAGGAAGGAAGGAAGGAAGGAAATCAAGAAAGAAAGAAAGAAAGAAAGAGAGAGAGAAAGAAAGAGAGAAAGCGAGAAAGAGAGAAGGGGAAGGAAGGAAGGAAGGAAGGAAGAAAGGAAGGAAGGAGAAGAAACCCTAAAGACTTGAACACTGAAAAGGTTGTTGAGCGACTTTCCCTTGAAGCAAGAAAATAGCCATGTCAGCCTTGGAACTAGAACATGGAAGGGTGATGCTCCAGTTTCATGAAGAACTCCCCCCCCTCCCCTCCTCCCTCACCCAGAAACCAGGCTCAGGCACCTCCAAATGACTGCTGCCCCAGGGTCCCATGGAGTGGGGTTTGGCGGTGAATCTCCAGTGCTGGACTGGGAGGTGGCCCATAATCCCAGCACTCCAGGTCTGAGTCACCACTGGGGGGGGCCTCAAGTCCTCCACGGAGGGGACTTGAGTCCTCCACTCTTGCCTCTCTGAAGGCCAGGGAGGCCCAACTTGAGTGGGTATGGAGGAAGGAGGAGTCAGGGGTCCCCCTGAGGGATGGGCCCACCAACCCCCCTGTCCATGGCTCAGCACCTTCAAGCCGGGGCTGCTTCCCACTGCATCGCATGTGGGTAGAAACTTGAAATATGGGGTCTCGGACCCCAGGTGTCCACTGTGGCAAGGACAGACGTGAGGATGGGCAGGGATGTGACCACAGCCACACAAGGCCATCCAGCCAGGCTGAGGAGTGGGCGCGGAGGGGCGGGAGCAGCGTTCCTTAGCAACCTGCCCTCCTGTCTACTCGGTCCCCAGAGACTGCGCTGGCCCTTCGGATCCTCACCCGCGTCTCTTGGGCAATGTGGAAGATAGGGCACACTCGAGGCTGGGCTGAGGGGCTGGGGGTGGCCAGAGCCACAAAGTGAGACTTAAGAGATGCAAATGCAGCCGGGCACTGGTGGCTCACGCCTGTAATCCTAGCTACTCAGGAGGCTGAGATCTGAGGATCGAGGTTCAAAGCCAGCCCGGGCAGGAGAGTCTGTGAGAATCTTATCTCCAATAAACCACCAGAAAACCGGAAGTGGCACTGTAGCTCAAGTGGTAGAGCGCTCGCCTTGAGCTGAAGAGCTGAGGGACAGCGCCCAGGCCCAGAGTTCAAGCCCCACGACCGACAAAAAAAAAAAAAAGAGAGATGCAAATGCAAGTGTCTCCCAAGCGAGGCTTCCCGTTCCTCCCACGGGAGGCCTGCCCTTCCCCTCAGAGTCCGCAGGGACCAAAGATGGCCTGTGGGGTGGGTTCTGGCCCACTTCACTTCTTCTCCGCTCTCTCCCCCCTCCCCCTTTCTCTTTCCCTCTTGCTTTCCGTGCTCTCACTCTCTCCTCTGTATCCCTCTCTCCTTCCCTCTCTTCCTCTGTTTCCCTCCCTCCCTCTTCCTCTTTCCCTCCTTCCTTTTCCTTCCCTCTCCTTCTGTCTCCCTCCCTTTCTTTTTTTTCCTCTCTCTCTATTACACACGTGGACACCATGGACACATGGACACATGCGCACAGGTGCACAGTAAAACCTCAGGAGACCTGAGGGCTGTTGGCCAACACATTCTGTGCTGTACTTCAGAGCAGCTTGCCTCTGCAACCCCTGAGCACGTTTCCATGGGAATGGAACTGTCCCCTCCTTCACCTCACCAGGTTTATCACCGGCGGAACCCCCAAACCTGCCAAAGCAGCAGGGAGGAACAGTGTGGAGCTGAGGCCGGACCCCAGCCCAGCCATCCTCCTGTCCATCCCAGTCCCAAAACACGCTGGCTGAGGCTCACTTGTAGATCTCCTCTGCTTTCTCCTTGACCTTGGACTGGTCTCCATACTTCAGATCCTCGCAGGCTTCCCAGAATCCCAGATTCTCCCCTGCAAGGAGAGAGCAGGAAAGAGGAAATGGAAGACGCGGGTCAGAGGGGATGGAGTCGGTGCTGAGGCTTTGTGTCCTGCAAAACAGGCCACCTGGCAGTGTGGTGACATCGGGCTAACTGCTCCTGCAGGGGTGGGGCCCCGGGAGAGCAGCTGGAAGCTAGCCACAGCTGGAATTGCTAGTGTCCTTGGAAAGGCACTGGCCTCCCACCTGCCAGCCTCAGGTCAATACATTCTCATTGCGGGTTCGGTTCTTCCTTCTACTGACACACAGGCTCTTGCTAATCCTTGGGAACTGCCGTGTTTTCTCTCCCTCTCTCCCTCTTTTTGTCCTAGAATTTGTCTGTAGCAGAGATTTCCCATCCAAGGTCACATGTGATAAGGGTCATTGCCTACACTCTGACCTTTCTTTTTCTTTTTCTTTTTTCTGCTTATGTGGTGCTGAGGAATCGAACCCAGGGCCTCATGCATGCAAAGCAAGTGCTCTACCACTGAGCCACCTTCCCAGCCCGACTCTGACCTTTCTTTATAAAGACCCCCCTGAACTCCTCGTGGCAGCGTCAGGGCTGCCTGTCTTCTGCCTCCTTTGTAAGGTAGGCACCCCAGTTCTAGAGCCCCTCCCAGGGCATCTTCCAACCCAAAGGTCTTTATCTCTCTCCATGCTGATCACTGACCACCCACGGACCGCCACCAGAGCCAGAAGATGCTGCTCATGTGGGCCCAAGAGGAAATCCAGACCGCTTAAATCCTACTCTCCTTCCCACCCCATGGTCTCTCCCCACCCATCCACAGCACCCAGAAACACCAAGAATAGATTGGAAGACAATTCCGGGTGGCATCTTACCCAAGAAAATAAAGACAATCACACCAGTGGTAGGATAAATCCAGCACAGATGTGTGTGTGTGTGTCTGTGTGTCTGTGTCTGTACATATGTGTGTCACAATGCAGATGCAGGCATTGGACAAGAGAATTCTCCTCCTCTCCTTTCACAAACTTTCAGAAGTTTCCAGATATTTCAGGTTGAGAATGCCTCCTCACTCTCATAAACTCTTTGTCTCGTGAACTTCAGAGAATTCTTTGGACCACCATTAACAGCCAGTGTTGTTCTTAACTGACAGTCAGCTGATTGGGCATCAGGTGAAATGTAACCCATCTTGCTCATAGCAAAAGATTGCTTATGATTAAAATTAAATGAATAATTAGTCACAATAGCCAGAAAGTGAAAACAACTCCAATAGCCAAGGATAATAGAATTTATAAACAAAATGTGGTAGGCACGTACCATGGAATGTTTTTCAGCCTTCAAAAGGGAGGAGAAGCTAACGAATGATGCAATGTGAATGCAATTTGCAGTCATTATGCTAAGCCTAATAATCCAGATAGAAAAGGCCAAGTGTTGTATGATTGCACTTACCATAAAGCGGCAAACATAGCCAGATTCACAGAGGGAGAAAGCTCTAGGCATAGGTGATGGTAAGGACCGCATGTCAGTGTGAGCATATTGATTGTCACTGAATTGTACCCTGACAATGGTCACAGTGGTAAGGATTTTGACATACAAATTTACTACTAAAAGTAAGTGCACGAAAGCACCTCCACCAATGTCCACAGCAGCATTACTTGTAACACTAAAAGACCAAAGCAACCCAAATGCCATTCTCTGATGAAAGGTGAACCAAATGGATATATACTACAGCCACAGAAAAGGAATGAGTGCCGCTACATACCACAACACAAGCATTATGCGAAGTGAAACCCTCACATGGCGTATGATCTCATTTGTGAGAAATATCCAGAAGAGGCAAATCCACACAGATTGAAAGCAGATTTGTGGTTGCCTAGGAATGAACAGGATTGTGGAGATGGGGAGGGGGCCACCGTGAGCAAGTAAGAGCCAGGGAGTAATATGAAATCCTCAAAATGGGCAGGGGTTTTCCTTCTGGGTTGTTGAAACTGTCTAGAATTAGATAATGTTCATGGCTGCCCAATTTAGTGATCATAATAAAACCCACTGAAGTGCATTGGATTGCAGTGATGCCTGCCTGTAATCCCAGCACTCAGAAGGCTGAGGCAGAAGGATCAGAAGTTTGAGCCCACACTGGGCTACATGGACCCTATGTCAAAACAAAACAACAAAAGGTATATAAATATATATATATATATATATATATATATTATATATACCTTACTGTAAATATACGTATCACTATATACATCTTTCTATATATACATATATACATATATATATTCTGTGTGTATGTGTGTGTGTGTGTGTGTGTGTGTGTGTGTGTGTGTGTGTGTGCAATGCTTCACTACCCGCTGGGGTGCAGCTTAAGTAGTAGAGCACTTGCCTAGCAATGGAAAGGCTCTAAGTTCAAACCCCAGTACTGCCAGTAAACACAAGCAGAACCAAAACTCTACTAAACAGTGTACTTTAAAGGGGTGAATTTCACGTTCATATCTCAATTTGACTTTTTTAATTAAATGAGAAAGCAGATGATTTATCTTCCTTGTTTCATATATAAATGAATCCTTGGGAATCACAAAGGGAATGTCAATAATATGGTCTTAAGCCAGGTGCTGGTGGCTCATGCCTGTAATGCTAGCTATGAAGGAAGCTGAGAACTGAGGAATGCAGTTCAAAGCCAGCTGGGGCAGGAAAGTCTGAAAGACTATATCCAATTTGCCAGCAAAATGAAGCCAAGAGGTACAGCAACAGTTGTGAGCAAGCAAGCCAAGCAAGAGCAAGAGACTCTGGTTCCAAGTACCAGAAAACACACACACACACACACACACACACACACACACACACACACACACACACACACACACACACACACACACAGCCATGGTTTTAATGATGTCTTGAAGCCCTTTCTGGATTCTAATACTGACGAATGGGGTTCAGTGTGAAGTTTATCCTTTTTGCCACTAGATGGCTCCATTTCCATTCATTCA